CCTCTAGTACCCCTGAGAAAACTTGTTCTTTTCAAACTTTGATGAAGGGAAATGAAGGGTTATGAAAAAAAGAAAACATAATTTAAAAGCAAAGCAAATTGATATTAAGAACTGTTTAAAAAAGCAACAACTGTATTTCACAAGTACCTGCTAGAAGCATGGCTAGTGTATAACTTGACAGGATTTTAATGATTTTCTTCTAAGTGATGTAAGGTCTGATTCCATTGATCAGTTGTCACAGCAAAGTTCCAAGGAAACCTGTGGTCTTGTTGCACACTTTCACAACTATTTGAACATTTAAGAACACACTCTTGGATGCAACTCTGAAGCATTTATTTAAGTTTAGGTGAGACAAAGGGAAATACATTACTGAACAGAGAGGTGTTTGTTTTTCCCGTTCATATGCGCTTAAAATATACTTTAAACCTGACATTAACATTTTCCTTCCCAGTGAGAATGACTTCGGATCATAAAATAAAAAATATCAACTTTAATCATGAAAAAATTATAAAATAGAATTTTAAGGCTCAAAGTGAACGTCTTTGTATTGGAAATAGTAAGGCAATTAACAAGGAATCATTTCTCCAATATTTAACAGTTAAAATATTTCATTGGGTCTTGTTAATCATTTTGTATGAAGACATTTCCCAAAAACTAATGCTTTTAAACCTAGTAGCATTAAGAACACAGTTCTTAAAGGAATTCTTATTCCAGATTTGTTGCTTTGAAGTACCTCTAATTACTGTAAACAGTTGGAATTGTCAGTTGTTTACATTTAAGATAAAGACTGCAGACTTGGATTTTCATGTTTGAAGTGTGCGCTCTCATCTTCTCATTCAGAAGGTACATTCCACCTTCCGTATGGAAGAAAAGGAACTCAATCCAGCTGTTTTAAAGCATAATCCGACAGTATCAATGCAAACTGCTAGAAGAAAAGGAACTCAATCCAGCTGTTTTAAGGCATAATCTGGTATCAATGCAAACTGCTGCCTTCCGTATGGAAGAAAAGGAACTCAATCCAGCTGTTTTAAAGCATAATCCGACAGTATCAATGCAAACTGCTATGTGATGCTGACTGGCTTTGCACCAAGCTGGTCCAAAATTTCAAAACAAGGGTAATGCTTCTGCTTTCTAGAATTGCAATACAAAAGGTGGCTTTTCTGCTCTTTGAAATATAATGTGCGTCTGTTTGCTTTCTAGAATTGCAATACAAAAGGTGGCGTTTCTGCTCTTTGAAATATAATGTGCCTCTGATTGTATACAAAGCCAGGACTAGAAGGGAACAGGAAACTAAATAAACCTCTAAGATTCTGAATCAGAAAACATTGAGAGGTTACAAAACTGAGTGTTTCTGTATCTCACTGATGCCATGTCATGTTCCACATTGTGGTGATTTAATGGACATTTGGAAGATAATAGCTAACACTGACTTCAGCGGAAGTTCTAACATTGAGTTTTGTTGTTGCAGTACCCTGCCCTGAATAAGAGAATGAAATATCGTGTTAGTGTGAAGTCAAATCAGTTATTCAATTAAACAAAAACAATGAACAGCCAAGCTGTTCAGGAAGGGAGCACAATTGCATAGTCTCTAGTGCATCTTGACACAGTATGATTAGATAGTGCCATCCTTCACAGGACATGAACTCAAACAGCATCTCATGTTTTGTGGCAACTTGGTGTTGTCTCTGCTGCTTACACAAGCCTTTTTCCCTTGGCTTTTCCATCAGTTAACAACACAAATGTAATCTGTGTGTTTTTTCCTAGTAAATCTCCTTTGTGATGAGCACATCAATGCTACTAATTAACAGCATTTGCATCCATTCACATAAGTGTCCTTTGCATACTCATTTTGTGGGCTTTGTATATGCAGAGAAAAAAATGTCCTGTAGCAGTTAACAAGCAAAATTTAATGACTACAGACCATTTGGGATCAGATTCTGATTTTTTTTGTATTAGATGCACTGAAAGTAGTTGAAATTCCAGACTTCTGCATTATGGAGGGAGACGTGATGGATAAAGTTTTGATCCTTTTGCTAGTAAATACTGTCAAGGTATGTTCAGCTGACAGATTTTAGTGATCCACTCTCAGTGAGGCTTCTGGAACCTCTTCTTGAATGACTAAGTATCAATCCTTGGTATGCAGATTTTGGGAAAAGTCTTTCAGCAATAGCTTCTTGTCTTCCCACTTTGAAAGAACTGAATGTACGTTTTAGAAACCGTTGTACCACGTAACCCTCAGCTTGTCAGCTCAGGTTATAATGATGTGAGTTGGGAGACATTCTACTGAAATCACTGAGAAAAGCTTGAAGAGATGTGGTTTACGTATTTTTCTTGGTGGACTTTGTTTTTTAATTTGTACAGAGTTTTGGGGTGTGTTGCAAGATGTGAGAACAACTATGACTTTCAGTAATATTAATAAGTATGATTCCAGCACCAGTAACCAGGTATTTGCTAATAGTACATACTGCTGTTCCTTCTTCTAAACTACATGAAGAACTCTGATTGAAGGGATTACTTTTGTAACTAGAATTGCCTAATAGCATATATCCCAGGCAAAAAGGAAAAGTTTGTGCTTGCTTGAATTCTTAGTTTCTGCTCAGTCAATAGGTAACATAATCCACATAGGGTATTCAGACAGGCAGTGGAAGGTAAAATAATTCTGGAAGTATAGAGTGATTTAGGTCTGAAGGAACCTGAGGAGATCATCTGGTCCAACCCCCCACTCAAAGCCAGGCAAGGGGGCACAGACAATCACTTGACCAAGTCTGTGCTAGGTATAAAGCCTGGTGACCGATACACAGCTTGGAATACTTTGGATCAAAACCTGCTATTCGGTTCTGGCATGAAATAATGGGAAGACCAAAGCTATAGATGGGAGAAGAATTTAATCTTTTGTGACTTAATTTCCTCTCTTCCCACTTCCCAACAGGACTGGATTAAATAAGCAAATTCCAATAACTTTCCTTGGATTATTTTCCCAAGGCTAGTTACTAATATGGGATACTTTAAATCTTGGGTTGCCCAACTCTGACTCAGTCTAGGTTTAGTTTTGGAATTCCTAAGCCATCCTAAAAACAGGTGAAGATATGAGGAGCAGTAGGTTCTCTGTCCTGGAAAATCAGACCCAAAATGTGCCTTAAGTTGGGCACCCCATAACTGAAGTAACTTGAATCAATGCATCACTTTTAATAGCTATTAGTTTTATTTTGTTTACCAGGGAGGAGGTACAACATGGGCAACGACTGGTAGTTCTGCTTTCCAGCTGAAATACCTGCACCTTGTTTTGTCTCTCAGGATATGAATGTATTTTAGCTTCCTGGATTGTTCAGTCTGGGGAGAATTGCCTGAGATTTCTAACAAAAACATTAAAGTTATAATGATGGGTTTGTTTTATGGTCTTCCCTAAGGTGGGAAGTGGAACAATCCAAGAAAATAATTTCCTCTAAACCCTTAGGGAACCAAGAGTTAGAGACAACATAAGCAGTATTTGTGGGAAACCCAATGAAAGGCTCTAGCTTTCTCAGTCTCTGGTGATATCCAGTAGTCTCTTAAGATAACTCATTGTTTTCTTTGCATGTATAATTTTTTTAAGTTACACTTTTAAATTTGAAAAAAAACCAAAACCTTTTAAGTTACACTTTTAAATTTGAAAAAAACCAAAAAATAAGGTCTAAAATGAAAGTATCTGTTACTTTTTCTTTTCATCTCCGTGATTTTGATCAGGACTTTGTTGCATTCACCAGCTATGTTGAAAGCAGTAAGAACTGCTTGAAAACAATGTCCAAAGAAGAGGGCTAGCAGTAATTTAAAAATGCAGGCAATCATCTTAGATATTCATAGATTCTTAGTGCTGGGAGGTATTAATGGAACTGTGTAGATGCTAAATATATTTAAATCAATCATTCAGTGTTGTCACTTAACACCTTCTGTTGCACTTTCATTAAATTGCCTTATTTATTACTATTAGTTACAGTAGGTTTGTTGCACATAACTGTTGCTTAACTTCGTAACTTTTGTATATTAACAGAATTTTCTCTGTCTTAGTAGACACCACATTTGTGATTACTTTCTAAATGATGGTGAAAATTTAAGTACCACCAGATCGTAATTCCTTTTCAGGTAGTTAGAAAATGAGCTAGATGGTAGATGCACTTTTCTTTTAGTCATGTTAAAAATTAGGAAAAAGAAACGGGTATATTAAAACTGTGAAGTTACAAGCTTGATATCATCTGTGTTTAAAGGCAGAGAATTTCTATCATTGTAAAGAACAAAGTATAAAGCACATCTGGAAAATAGTTTTCAGCTATGGCTCTGGAGAACGTGCTTCAGACAACAGGAATTTGGGTTTCCTGTGTTAGCATCCTATGCACGTGCCCTGTACCTTACTTCATGAATCCTTACACCACAAGTACACAGTTCATGGAGTACACACACACACAAATATAAATATATAGGGTATACAGCTGCAGCTATGTGAAACACTATATTTATCTAGTCTTGAGTTCAAAAATTCTAAGGTTATCTGGCATAATAATATATAAAAATGAGTTACATCTTTTCTCTTTAACTTGTGCTTTGTGATTATCTGGCATGTTTTTTATAATTACATTCAAAGTCTTGCTGTTTACGCTCATTCAGGATTGCTGTTATTGTAATGTCAATGTTTTCACTGGCAGTATTCCAGCTAAACATCAGCAATCCTTAACGTGGCTTGCTACAGTACAGTAGCTTTCATTCAAGCAGTAAAAGTGGTATTGGCTTTTAAGTGCTGAAAACTATGTTTACTATGTAATTCTTAGCAAACTACACAGTACTGCATTTATTGCACTACACTCCATACCACAATTATTCTGGAGTAAAATAATATGCAAAAGTCTTGTATGATATGTTACTTGCAACATTTGCAGCAGCAGTACACTTAATTACAAACAGGTTGCTTGTAAACCTTGAGCATCTTGACTTGTACCTCTTCTTTTTTTTTTTCTTTTTTTTTTTTTTTCTTTCTCTCCACAGTTCTAGTATCTCTGCAGGTGTAACTGGAACACTTGTTTGTTTTTCAAAGTTCTTCACTCTCCACCACTTTTTGGCTCGGGGATGAAAACAGCATAGGACTTTCAGTAGTTGGGAAGGTGGAAAAAATGTCAAGTCCTTGAGTGGTAAGGTTTGAGTACCGGCTGCCACCAGGTCGAAGCTTTATTTGTTGTGGAATTTGACGGTGCCACTGAGCTGAAGCAACAGAAAGAGAATAGGCTGTATAAACCTCTAATTAAGTTAGCAATGAAATAGCAGAAATCAATGCACACAACTGAAAAGTTGGTTCCAACATCCTCGAAGAGAGCACAGTATTGTTGTGCCCTATTTTAGGGTCTATTCCTTCAAATATTATCATTGACAGTTTATATGTTGAGTATTTTTATTGAAGTCTAGAGATGGGGCTCCGTACCTGTTCAATTCAATGGCAACATTTACATGGATTTGACTGATTCCAAAATTTAATCATTTAATCTTTGGAGCCTTTTCCAAAGCACTTGCAATTAGAGCTAAAAACATACCATACCCAGAGATGAAGAAACTGAATGTGGCTCTGATTTTGTACTGCTCCATCCTCTGGGGGACTTTTCTTCCTGCTTTTCTTTTTTATTTTTTTTTGGTGGTATTTAATTTGGAAGTAATAATATAGGGAATTTTTTTAACGTGATTACAATTTTTATTTCCATCTACTACTTACAACTAGTAACACATTTCCTAGTTTTTTTACAAGATATTGAAAGAAGTGTTATCCAAAGACACATACTCAGTAATTTAAAAGTAACATTCAACGTGTTCCCATATGAACAAATACCATTACAATTTTGTAAAAATATTAAGCTACTATATAATAATTATCATTCTTAAAACACTTCAGGAAGGGGAAATTGATCTTATCTTTGCTGGTATTTATCCATAGAAAACCTCCAGGTCTGCACCCAAACTGGACAAACATATCTTAGCAATTAAAATGAAAGAGTAGAAGTTCAGGCTACAATACTCTGAGAGCAGCTTATGTGGGAGACCTGCAGTCTACGTGTTAAGCATTGATAGAAAATGTTCATTATCTTTCTATGCTGATTTTTGACCGTGTCTATCTGGAAATATTTGAAGAAGAGCCTCCTTTTATCTTGCAGGCCCCAATTTCTTTCTATTTGAACAATACATTCATTATTTACTGTGCTTTTTCTTTGCACATGGGATTGCAGACATCAGACCACGCTTTCAATCCCCCAGGCCCATCCATTCAAAATAGCACAGAGAAAAATTATTTCCATCACTCCTCTTGGTGTATTTATTAGACTTGCACAGCCTTTAGAAAATATGGTTGGAACCAGGAAGCATTTCTTACTTTCCATCTTTTTCCTGTTTGTACCTTGAATCCTTCATACGGAAATGTAATTTATCTCTTGAAACACTGAGACACCTAAGGGATTGTTTTTCATGTGACTTTTTTGCATCCGTGTCATCAGCCCTCTTGAGCAATACGTGGCCATTGTCCGTATGACCACAAGGTGGCGGAAAACTGACAGGGATGCGCTGGTGGCTTCTGGTTATCCCTCATAATTAAGTGGATTTTTTGAAAAATGAGAAATGCAAGACTGAAAACGTGGGTTTTTCTTTTTTTCCTTTCAGGGTATGACTATAAACCAATAGTTAGTGGAATATGTTTTCTGTTTTATTATGTTATCTGATCAAAGTACTCTCTCCTTGAACTGGGCTGGGGCCTTCGGAGTCTTAGACAAACATATTAGATGCAAACTTGCCTCTGTTAATTAGTCACCATACGTGCTCCATAGAAGAAGGGGTCTACTTTCCTGTGTGCAATTTATTGTTCCATCTCAGGTCGGGGCTGTAGCACAGATGTGTGTGTGTGTCAGAGGGAACAGAGTTAAGGTTCGGCTTCAATACATGTTTATTATATGCTTATGTGTCTAGGGAACTTGGAAGATGGAAAACGGGAGTAGAGAATCTTGGAATCAGAGAATAGTTTGGGTGGGAAGGCACCTTTAAAGGCCATCTGGTCCAGCCCCTCTGCAGTGAGCAGGGACATCTTCAACTAGATCAGGTTCCTCAGAGCCCTGTCCAACCTGACCTTGAATGTTTCCAGGGATGAGGCATCTACCACCTCTGGACAGCCTGTGCCAGTGTTTTACCACCCTCGCTGTAACAAATTAATTCCTTGTATCTGGTCTAAATCTACCCTCTTTTAGTTTAAAACCTTTACCCCTTGTCCTATTGCAACAGGCCCTACTGAAAAGTCTGTCCCCATCTTTCCTGTAGCCCCCTTTAAGTACTGAAAGGCTGCAATAAGGTCTTCCTGGAGCCTTCTCTTCTCTGGGCTGAACAGCCCCAACTCCCTCAGCCTGTCCTCATGGATTAAGAACTAGGTGAGGGCTAGGACCAGTAAAAAAAAATAAATTCTAACTTGTTTTATTTACTAGCCCATACTTACCATATATGTCGAGTCTAGCTGTACAAGAGACAATACCAGCTTCGTTTTTTGCAGACAGGGTGTACCAGCCAGCGTCTGCTTTCTTGGCAGGTTGAATGAGGAGGCAGACGTACCCTGTTGTGTCTTGGTGCATGCTGGGAAAACAAGCCGTTTGGAATTAGTATTTCTCAAGAGCATATCAACTTTGAGATTTTAACAGTAAGTACATTAAATATGAAATATATAAGTTTTAACTTTCATTCTCAAAGAGGTAGCAGCGCGAGACATTTATGGTCAATAGAATTGCTTTCAGTATGGCCTCACCCAGTGGTCAGAGTAGCTGAAACCTGTTCTTGCTTCTCTCAGCTGCACAAAGCCATGGTGTGGCAGAGTGAGCTCAGTTGTTGCTCTCTATGTGTTGATACTGGAATTGTTGATTGAATTCCATTGAACTAAACCCATGCAAAACTACTGCACAGTCAGACTGTATTTTTTCCTAGTTTAGAAGCTGGAAGAATAATGTAACAAACAAAATACCAAGAACATTTGTACAAAGTTGTGATATTTTTCACATCAGTAATCAGAGTCAGTCAGAAACTTCCTTATGACACCCTTCCCATGAGAAAATGCCTGAGTGAGAAAATCTGGAAGGTTCATTTGGCCAACAGTCTAAAAGAAACCTGCTTTGTTATTCCCTCCCCTTCGCTTGTTCTTCAGTGATCTGAGACTTTCTGCCTGCAGCTTCCAGGAAAATTTATTCAATAGTATATCAGAGAACAGAGGCTTCTCTGCTCTCTAGGCTGTGGGTGTCCTTTTTATCAACCCAAGTGTTTCCCTTATTATCAAGGAAGAGGTGGGAGATGAGCACATCAGAATACTTGGAGTTGCAGGAAGTTCTAAAATTTGAGATTTTGTTTCCTTATGAACTGGAATGAAACATTAAACCACAGAGTTTCAAGTCAATAGGACATTTTGTGCTTCCAACAGCTCTAATGAAAAAGAGAATGTTCACCGTTTGCTCCCTGCACTACAGAATTTACCTTATGCTGGGGGCGCAATAGTATATAAGCTCATACATGTCCATATTGTGATACAAAAAAGGTCTCTTGGCCTCAGGCAGGAAGAAAACAGTGAGGCAAGGTAGAGACAAACAAGGATGACGCTGCCCATCGCTCACATGGTCTGTGCAGAACCACTGGAAGCCTCAGGGGCAGGCAGTCTGGTTATGACTGGCTGAAATAGCAGAGGTGATCCAAGCCTGATGTTAGCTCCTGGCATGGGGAGGTGTGGGAGGTTTCCCTTCATCATTCCTCTGCTGAGCTGAAGCAAAAGCTTGTTTTCTAAGCTTCTGTGAAACAACTGGAAATGAGGCATTTTAGGACAGTTGTTCATTCTCCATTAACTACAGTGTTTGCATGTGTAGAACCATCATTCTTGTGAAAGTGACAGTACTTGAAATAAATCCTTGAGTAACTGCACAGAGGCATAGAATATCAGAGTAAGTTGGGCTTTTTGGAGGGGGACAGCAGTCTCTGGGTGGGGAAGGGGAGACCACAGAAAGATTGATTCTCATTAATTACAGCTAGGCACATTATTTTATCAGCTTTTCTTTTGTGAAGCAGGAAAAATAGTGATGCATTTGAATGCAAGAGCTGAACCCAAACACTGTTGCATTTTGTAACATGGATCCAGGTCTTTGCCTGTGTTTGTTATCGTCCTCTGTATCTGATACACTAAACTCTGTATTATCTTGTGCCAGCAATGTGCCCTTGTGGCCAATGGCATCCTGGGGTGCTTCAAGAGGAGGGTGGCCAGCAGGTCAAGGGAGGTCATCCTCGCCCTCTACTCTGCCCTGGGGAGGCCCCATCTGGAGCACTGGGACCAGTTCTGGGCTTCCCAGTTCCAGAAGGACAGGGAACTGCTGGAGAGGGTACAGCAGAGGGCTACAGAGGTGATTAGGGGCCTATAACATCTTTCTGATGAGAAAGGGCTGAGGGACTTGGGTCTTTTTAGTCTAGAGAAGAGAAGACTGAGGGGGGATCTGATCAATGCCTATAAATACTTAAAAACTAGATGTCAAGAGGATGGGGCCAGTCTTTTTTCAGTAGTGCCTAGTGACAGGACAAGGAGCACAACCTTGAACAGAGAAAGCTCCACCTAAATGTGAGGTGGAACTTCTTGCAGGGTGGCAGAGCCCTGGAAGAGGCTGCCCAGAGAGGTGGTAGAGTCCCCATCTCTGGAGATGTTCCAAACCTGCCTGAACACATTCCTGTGCAACCTGCTCTGGGTGGACCTGCTCTGGCAGGGAGGTTGGCCTAGATGATCTCCAGGGATCCCTTCCAACCCCATCTCATTCTGCAATTCTGTGCTCTGGGGCATTCAAAGCTGTATTCTAACCATTCTGAGTTTGAATTCATCCATAGTTAGAACTAAATTGAGGAAAAAATCATTTAGAGAGTAAGGTGCTAAAATGCATTAAAAATACTGTACCATAGTATCTTTGATAAGAAGATGCATATGTTGTATCAGGCCTATGACCCGAAAGGTCTATCACTGCTCTCTGAGGCAGTGGCGTATTATGCTCCATTCCTTTATTCTGAACCAAGAAAATGCTATTGTTCACCTCACAGTGAAGCCAGCTTTTAAAGACTTCATGTGGGTGAAAGAAGATGTTTTAAGAAGAACACCACCTGTAATTCTCACAGTTTTTCATGGAAACAATTGGTCTAGCCACAAGATACTCCAAGCATGGGTACGATGGTACAGTACCTCATCCTGTCTCTGTTTGATGGGATGGTCTCATTATCCTTCTTCCAGAAAAATATAGGGGGTGGCATTCCAACAACTCTGCACTCTAGTCTGACAGGGTACCCTTCAGGAACACCGCAGTTCTGAAGCTTCTCCAAAAACATGGGGGCTTTTTTTACTTCCTTTGCTGGAAAAAGAAAAAGAATTCTTGAACAACAGAAATTTTCTTCTTTGTTACACTTTGAATTATATGGAAAAACAAGACCAAAAGTTATTCTTGTGATATCAAAACAGGTTCTGAATTTTTAATGGGAAGGAAGTGCTGGAAGGAAAGTTAAATGCTATGACGTAGCCTCTGTAAGGGAACATATATAAAATAATAGGCAGAACTGATATTCATAAAAGAATGTGTGTGTATTTAATGGGTCTAAATATACTACCATTGCAGGAAATTATGCCAGTTCTATGGATTTCAGGAGCTCACATCCTGTAAGGCTTTATTACAGAACAGTATTCAGATTCATGTTTTTTATATTTAAAAAAGAAATTAAGCCAATAAAATAGGGACTGACATCTAGGAGACCACAATGTATATTATGAATTCAAACACTAAGTATTCTCTCTGGAGAAAATTTAGAATGTCATTTTGCCAAGACAAGAGAGGTGAAGTGATGATGAGAGAGAATTCTTACTGCCCTCTTTTAATAACAGGGTGCACCTATCGACTGAGCACCAGGTCCGTTTCCCTCTAACACATGAGTTTTCTTACTGTTGAACTCTCCTGCTATCAGTGGATTAACTATTTGTTTAAACTTGTCTTTAGGGAAACTAAGGCACTTTTTGGAAGAAGTGTATACAAATAACTACAGCATTGTTATTAAATTATTCTTAGTTATTCTTACCTACAACCGTGAGCTCCAGACTAAATGAATTTTGTCCTGTTTTATTAGTGGCAAGGCAGGTGTAAGTTCCAGCATCATTTTGTGTGAGAGGATCAATAAGCAGAGAGTGAACTCCAGTCTCTCTGACCAGCATCTTGTGGGTGCCATCTGGTAGCACAGGTTTGCCGTTCAGAAGCCACGTCAGCTCTGGAGTCGGTAACCCGCTCACCTAACGGACAGGGAAACAGCTAGAGACAAATGTCAACCTGACAAAGAGTTTTTAGTACATTCGTAGGTAAGCCTTTTTCCAGATACCATCTGAATAATGTCAGAATCTAGAACAAAAAGATGTAATTTTTTTTTTTTTATTTCTCAGCTTCTGTTTTTTTCTGCTGATTAGTTCCAAAAGGCAGAAGGATAGAAAACAATCAAGCAACAAAATCCTAAGAGAAACAAATACATGAAATGCCTACGTTTTTCCTGGTCAGAAAGGAAGAAACTTGGTCCTGTATCAGATTCACAAAAGTCTCCTAGTAATCTGCTAGTTTTCTTTTTTTTTTTTCTTTAGTGCTGAGTATAAATCAAAACCCTAGATCCAAACCACTACAGAGTTTAATAGGGATTAAAAGGACTTCCATACAAATGACTTAGTATTCTGTAAAATCTGATTAAGAATTATATAGTTCTTTGTAGCTGTTAAACTTACATGCTTTAGAACACTGCAGATTAAATATTTTATAGAAAGATTATTAGACTTTATTATATTCTTAAAGATCTTTCCAATAGATAGAAGTACTTACTCATGTCTAAAATATTGCTTTACAAACAATATTCTATAAACCAGAGAAAGAGGGAAGTGGAACTTGCCTGCACGAGGAGTGCTGTCTTCCAGGTCTGTGCAATACCAGACATGCTTTAAGGCTTCACAAGCTCTGCCAGGATAGCAGAGCTAAGAATAACCAAATTCTTTGGCATGCTCCCTAGTAAACTTTACATTGTAAATTAAGTAGTAAATGAATCTTGTTCATCTTCAGGGCATTAACTTCTGCTTCAGAGCTTCTACCCTCTTTGGGGTAGGAGACATTTTGGAGCATGGAAGAGGTCAGTGTCAGTGCTACCACCTTTGCTGTGCTGCTGCGACACAGAGGGACTACCAAAATATGTTTGAGCAGACAAGTTTCTTAAAGCTGTTCAATAACAGGATGTTCACTGTGTGTACCCTAATCTCTGACAACTCTCTCACATAGGGATTTGAATCTGTAAATGGGGACATTTCTGTATCTGCATGTGCTTGGGAAGCATAAAATACACTGGGCTCCGTTCCCTCTTTTCAGGGAGTATTAATCTGCAGTAATTCAGTCCAGTACAATAGAAACATTTGTTTGAACAGCATACATGCTGAATCCTCTCTTTCTCATGGTTTTGTGCATTTCTGGATTATGTTCAAGAATCTGATAATGGAGCAGAAGGACCTGTCATTCCCAGATGAACTTCTGGAGTTCAGGCTGGTAAAGGACACGGTGAACATATCTAGTAATTTGAACAACCTTCTGAGTGAGCCTTCTATTTCTGGGGTTGTGTTTTCTGTGTTCTTCATTCCATACAGCATGTGTTGAAAAGAAATCCCCCGAATCAGATCAGAGACAATGGCAATAAGAAATAATTTTTTAAAATAAAGCATTAAAACTTCAACAGAAAGTGCTTATGCATGTAATGAAGAACATGAAACCACCTAGCAATACATGTACAGAGGTATGGGAAGTGAGAATGAACAGAGGAAATAGTTAATACCTTACAATCCAACCTACAAAGTCGCCCTTCATGTGCTACCATGTCACCTGGAGCCTGTAGAAAGTATGGCCTGAAAAAGCGTTCTTGAACTGCTTCTTTGTCTCCTTCTGGCACCCGGGGTCGTGTCCTGCAACACAAAAATTGCATACATATGTTTGGAAGCCAAACTTTTTTTTCCTAATGCTTTAAAAGAGTTAAATAAAAAGGGCAGAAATAAATGGACTGATTGTAATTTAATGCTTGCATATTTTAATTTAGAAAGATTATCAAATTAACTATATTGTGTAGTATTGTTGGATTCCCAAGCTTTCCTTCTCTACTTTTTGCTTTTTTGGCTGGATTTCATCTTGCTAATCCATCCCTTGCCTTTAACTCCACTGCAAGAGGTAAATGAAATAATACTTTACACTTAAACTTCCCTGTATTTGAAGATGACCTTAAAAATATTAGATACTAGAAGTGACCTGTTGGGAGGGAATTGCTGCTGTCATTTCCATTCTGTGATTGAGAACTGAAGTACAGAGTGCGTTGAAGTACAGCAGCTAGTTATTTTGAATGCCTTCAGTAAGAAGCACTGAGATGGTCTGAAGGACTTGTCTTTCCTTTTACCTGTGAGGCTGAATTGTTGATATTCGGCCCCGAACAGGGATACTCTGAACCATCAGGTGGCCTGAACAACTGATTCTCCCCTGCAAATCACAATGGAAACAGAATTAAGCGTTGGTTAATAACTCATTTCATTTTGAAGTATAAATAGTTAACATTTACAATGCATCAGCTGGTTTTTTGTGGGTTTTTTTTTAAGTAAAGTAACTGGACTATGGTGTAAATATTACTTTTTCAAAGCAAATGCTATTAGTGTGCGGAGGCAGAGGTTTCTCTGTGTGTCTGGAGCAGTGTGTTTCTCAGGCTCGTAAAGGCCGTGGCAGTGCATTTAGCAGTGGTGCTGGGTAAACCAGCTTAAGCAGTATCTGTCCCTGCTTCTTCATGGCTGTCTCTGTGTCTCCCCAGGTATTCTCTTCCAGACCCTTTCTACTAGTGGTGTTGTTTGTGCAGCCACACGGAAACTGAAAAGTAGTTGGGCTGAAGTATAATTCAGAAAAAGGGAAAAATTGAAACTGGAAAAAGTTGCCTGCCTTGATTGTACTGCTAAATAAGCATCTAAGCTAGTGCACAGGGTGAAGGAGAGGGGTATTATGGAACGAGACCATTTGCAGATCCACATCTTTGCATCCTGGATAAAGGATAACTGTGTTTGGTAAGACTTCCAAATTTGGCGTAACATTTTGTTTCCCCTCGTTCTATTCTTTCTGCCTACAGTATCATGTCTGTCTTGTCACCATATCTCAGAGAGTATCTATCAGCAACAGAAGCAGGGTCAGAAGATAGGGCAGGAGTTAGTAATGGGGAAAAACATTCTTAATGATTGTGACTGGGATGTATAAGAATAGGGGAGTAGTTTCATCATTCTTCATTATATGGTTTCCTCTCCTACCCTCTGAAGCATCTGATTTTTGATACACTCACCACTCGCTGTCAGGCTTGGTGGCCCAATCCGTGTTACTATTAATATACATTCAAAAAAGATGAAACAAGCATTTTTGTAGAGGAAAATAAAACACCTTACTTGTGGGTTTGCAGCCATAATTGTATAGTTGCCATCATCATCATTAGTAGAAGCTTCAATATGTAAAGAACATGTTCCATCTTCTTCTCTGTTCATTTTGAAATGCTTGTTTTTCTTTGAAATCTGCTTGCCGTCCTTGAACCAGTATACCTGTAGTGATCAGAACCCCCCCAGTGACTTAACACTTGCTCTGTAGTGGAATAGTGACTAGAAAAAGCATAGATAAGAACATGACATAAGTTGGCCAATTGCTAGTAAAAAGTTTAGAACATTATAAAATGTGCGGATCAATTACAACGTGAAGTAAAATGATTCCAGGTTGAACTTGGAAAGCTGCATATCTCCTTTGCATAGCTGGGCCTGTTGGGTTCTCTTTCTTGGCTACAGACACTTTACTGGTTATCTCAGATTAGTTCTTATCTTTCTGAGAAGTTAATTTTTTGATGGGTAATGAAGTCCTGTTTCTCTTGGGGTCAGGTGGTTGTGAGGCAGTCTACACAGTACATCAAAGATACATGCTCAGGAGCAGATATTGTTATTTTAGAAATTATTTTATTTAATTTTTTATTAAGTTATTTTAGATATTGTTATTTTAGAAAATGGGAGGGAAATAATTTGTTTTAGACTTCTCTCCACAGAGCCATGTTCTTAGGACTGAGGCTTTCCAGAGAGATGTATAAAAACTGCAGGTAGTTGATTTTTATTCCTTTACTGTTATTTTTTTTTTTTTTTCTTTCTCTCCACAGTTCTAGTATCTCTGCAGGTGTAACTGGAACACTTGTTTGTTTTTCAAAGTTCTTCACTCTCCACCACTTTTTGGCTCGGGGATGAAAACAGCATAGGACTTTCAGTAGTTGGGAAGGTGGAAAAAATGTCAAGTCCTTGAGTGGTAAGGTTTGAGTACCGGCTGCCACCAGGTCGAAGCTTTATTTGTTGTGGAATTTGACGGTGCCACTGAGCTGAAGCAACAGAAAGAGAATAGGCTGTATAAACCTCTAATTAAGTTAGCAATGAAATAGCAGAAATCAATGCACACAACTGAAAAGTTGGTTCCAACATCCTCGAAGAGAGCACAGTATTGTTGTGCCCTATTTTAGGGTCTATTCCTTCAAATATTATCATTGACAGTTTATATGTTGAGTATTTTTATTGAAGTCTAGAGATGGGGCTCCGTACCTGTTCAATTCAATGGCAACATTTACATGGATTTGACTGATTCCAAAATTTAATCATTTAATCTTTGGAGCCTTTTCCAAAGCACTTGCAATTAGAGCTAAAAACATACCATACCCAGAGATGAAGAAACTGAATGTGGCTCTGATTTTGTACTGCTCCATCCTCTGGGGGACTTTTCTTCCTGCTTTTCTTTTTTATTTTTTTTTGGTGGTATTTAATTTGGAAGTAATAATATAGGGAATTTTTTTAACGTGATTACAATTTTTATTTCCATCTACTACTTACAACTAGTAACACATTTCCTAGTTTTTTTACAAGATATTGAAAGAAGTGTTATCCAAAGACACATACTCAGTAATTTAAAAGTAACATTCAACGTGTTCCCATATGAACAAATACCATTACAATTTTGTAAAAATATTAAGCTACTATATAATAATTATCATTCTTAAAACACTTCAGGAAGGGGAAATTGATCTTATCTTTGCTGGTATTTATCCATAGAAAACCTCCAGGTCTGCACCCAAACTGGACAAACATATCTTAGCAATTAAAATGAAAGAGTAGAAGTTCAGGCTACAATACTCTGAGAGCAGCTTATGTGGGAGACCTGCAGTCTACGTGTTAAGCATTGATAGAAAATGTTCATTATCTTTCTATGCTGATTTTTGACCGTGTCTATCTGGAAATATTTGAAGAAGAGCCTCCTTTTATCTTGCAGGCCCCAATTTCTTTCTATTTGAACAATACATTCATTATTTACTGTGCTTTTTCTTTGCACATGGGATTGCAGACATCAGACCACACTTTCAATCCCCCAGGCCCATCCATTCAAAATAGCACAGAGAAAAATTATTTCCATCACTCCTCTTGGTGTATTTATTAGACTTGCACAGCCTTTAGAAAATATGGTTGGAACCAGGAAGCATTTCTTACTTTCCATCTTTTTCCTGTTTGTACCTTGAATCCTTCATACGGAAATGTAATTTATCTCTTGAAACACTGAGACACCTAAGGGATTGTTTTTCATGTGACTTTTTTGCATCACTGTCTCAGCCCTCTTGAGCAATACGTGGCCATTGTCCGTATGACCACTAGGTGGCGGAAAACTGACAGGGATGCGCTGGTGGCTTCTGGTTATCCCTCATAATTAAGTGGATTTTTTGAAAAATGAGAAATGCAAGACTGAAAACGTGGGTTTTTCTTTTTTTCCTTTCAGGGTATGACTATAAACCAATAGTTAGTGGAATATGTTTTCTGTTTTATTATGTTATCTGATCAAAGTACTCTCTCCTTGAACTGGGCTGGGGCCTTCGGAGTCTTAGACAAACATATTAGATGCAAACTTGCCTCTGTTAATTAGTCACCATACGTGCTCCATAGAAGAAGGGGTCTACTTTCCTGTGTGCAATTTATTGTTCCATCTCAGGTCGGGGCTGTAGCACAGATGTGTGTGTGTGTCAGAGGGAACAGAGTTAAGGTTCGGCTTCAATACATGTTTATTATATGCTTATGTGTCTAGGGAACTTGGAAGATGGAAAACGGGAGTAGAGAATCTTGGAATCAGAGAATAGTTTGGGTGGGAAGGCACCTTTAAAGGCCATCTGGTCCAGCCCCTCTGCAGTGAGCAGGGACATCTTCAACTAGATCAGGTTCCTCAGAGCCCTGTCCAACCTGACCTTGAATGTTTCCAGGGATGAGGCATCTACCACCTCTGGACAGCCTGTGCCAGTGTTTTACCACCCTCGCTGTAACAAATTAATTCCTTGTATCTGGTCTAAATCTACCCTCTTTTAGTTTAAAACCTTTACCCCTTGTCCTATTGCAACAGGCCCTACTGAAAAGTCTGTCCCCATCTTTCCTGTAGCCCCCTTTAAGTACTGAAAGGCTGCAATAAGGTCTTCCTGGAGCCTTCTCTTCTCTGGGCTGAACAGCCCCAACTCCCTCAGCCTGTCCTCATGGATTAAGAACTAGGTGAGGGCTAGGACCAGTAAAAAAAAATAAATTCTAACTTGTTTTATTTACTAGCCCATACTTACCATATATGTCGAGTCTAGCTGTACAAGAGACAATACCAGCTTCGTTTTTTGCAGACAGGGTGTACCAGCCAGCGTCTGCTTTCTTGGCAGGTTGAATGAGGAGGCAGACGTACCCTGTTGTGTCTTGGTGCATGCTGGGAAAACAAGCCGTTTGGAATTAGTATTTCTCAAGAGCATATCAACTTTGAGATTTTAACAGTAAGTACATTAAATATGAAATATATAAGTTTTAACTTTCATTCTCAAAGAGGTAGCAGCGCGAGACATTTATGGTCAATAGAATTGCTTTCAGTATGGCCTCACCCAGTGGTCAGAGTAGCTGAAACCTGTTCTTGCTTCTCTCAGCTGCACAAAGCCATGGTGTGGCAGAGTGAGCTCAGTTGTTGCTCTCTATGTGTTGATACTGGAATTGTTGATTGAATTCCATTGAACTAAACCCATGCAAAACTACTGCACAGTCAGACTGTATTTTTTCCTAGTTTAGAAGCTGGAAGAATAATGTAACAAACAAAATACCAAGAACATTTGTACAAAGTTGTGATATTTTTCACATCAGTAATCAGAGTCAGTCAGAAACTTCCTTATGACACCCTTCCCATGAGAAAATGCCTGAGTGAGAAAATCTGGAAGGTTCATTTGGCCAACAGTCTAAAAGAAACCTGCTTTGTTATTCCCTCCCCTTCGCTTGTTCTTCAGTGATCTGAGACTTTCTGCCTGCAGCTTCCAGGAAAATTTATTCAATAGTATATCAGAGAACAGAGGCTTCTCTGCTCTCTAGGCTGTGGGTGTCCTTTTTATCAACCCAAGTGTTTCCCTTATTATCAAGGAAGAGGTGGGAGATGAGCACATCAGAATACTTGGAGTTGCAGGAAGTTCTAAAATTTGAGATTTTGTTTCCTTATGAACTGGAATGAAACATTAAACCACAGAGTTTCAAGTCAATAGGACATTTTGTGCTTCCAACAGCTCTAATGAAAAAGAGAATGTTCACCGTTTGCTCCCTGCACTACAGAATTTACCTTATGCTGGGGGCGCAATAGTATATAAGCTCATACATGTCCATATTGTGATACAAAAAAGGTCTCTTGGCCTCAGGCAGGAAGAAAACAGTGAGGCAAGGTAGAGACAAACAAGGATGACGCTGCCCATCGCTCACATGGTCTGTGCAGAACCACTGGAAGCCTCAGGGGCAGGCAGTCTGGTTATGACTGGCTGAAATAGCAGAGGTGATCCAAGCCTGATGTTAGCTCCTGGCATGGGGAGGTGTGGGAGGTTTCCCTTCATCATTCCTCTGCTGAGCTGAAGCAAAAGCTTGTTTTCTAAGCTTCTGTGAAACAACTGGAAATGAGGCATTTTAGGACAGTTGTTCATTCTCCATTAACTACAGTGTTTGCATGTGTAGAACCATCATTCTTGTGAAAGTGACAGTACTTGAAATAAATCCTTGAGTAATTGCACAGAGGCATAGAATATCAGAGTTAGGTGGGCTTTTTGGAGGGGGACAGCAGTCTCTGGGTGGGGAAGGGGAGACCACAGAAAGATTGATTCTCATTAATTACAGCTAGGCACATTATTTTATCAGCTTTTCTTTTGTGAAGCAGGAAAAATAGTGATGCATTTGAATGCAAGAGCTGAACCCAAACACTGTTGCATTTTGTAACATGGATCCAGGTCTTTGCCTGTGTTTGTTATCGTCCTCTGTATCTGATACACTAAACTCTGTATTATCTTGTGCCAGCAATGTGCCCTTGTGGCCAATGGCATCCTGGGGTGCTTCAAGAGGAGGGTGGCCAGCAGGTCAAGGGAGGTCATCCTCGCCCTCTACTCTGCCCTGGGGAGGCCCCATCTGGAGCACTGGGACCAGTTCTGGGCTTCCCAGTTCCAGAAGGACAGGGAACTGCTGGAGAGGGTACAGCAGAGGGCTACAGAGG